CTCCATGGAAAACCAGTGCAACGCGATAGCCTGGGTATCGGGACAAAATTCAACATGGCGTCTGGAGGAGGTATTATCAAAGGAGTCAAAGGTTTTTTCCAAAAACCAGCTGTAAAAACTGTCGTGAAAACCCTGTTTCCGGATCCTATGGCGAATTTCAAGTATTCAGAAGTTTTGTGGAACTTTAGAAATAAGGAAACCCTGGAGCAATGGACGCTTATCACAGATGAGCAGTTTGGTGGCAAATCTACAGCCGAGTTTGTACGAAGTCCAGGCGGAAAAGCTGTGTTTAAAGGGAATATTTCTACTGAATTACCCGCAGCCACGAATGTTAAATACAGTGGTATGTGCTCTATCAGATCACAGCCACAAAGGGTAAGTTTTGTGGCGCATCTAGTACTGTATGCAAAATTTAAGCTCAAGGTTACATAATTTTCAAGATCAAGGTACAAACTGGAAAGCACCCGAGTGGGGGCCTGGGCGGGCCTGGGCTGCCCTGGTACCCAAGGTACCTGAGCCATGAGTGATTTCCATTTTCTCAACAACTCTTGATTTTGCGCTATGAAAATTAATGTACCAGGAAGTGCACAGTGTTATTGTAATGGCTGACTTCCACTGATTGAGTCTATAAGTAAGCTAGTTTTCCCTGGGAGTCCTATTGTCCCATTCTTCTCAACCAAAGCATATACCATGTTACATGTGCTTGAAACTCTGTACTTGCTATTAGGGGGAACTTGGCCTTAACTGTTGTAATGGAGACCGCAGTAGGTAACTTCTCCATACGGAAGATGGGTGAAGGTTATCACTTTTACGGTTTTCAAGCAAAGAGAGAAAGTAAAAAAGGCAAGTCACTCCTCTCTTTCCTGTCGGGCTGTGTGAGTCTAAGCTGGACTGTGCTCTTTAAAAGAAAAAACGTTACATCATACATTAAATTGTGTCTTTCTCTTCTTGTTATCCAGGATAGGAAAGGAGATGTGACAGCAAATGAAGTAGCAGATTATGATGGTATTGTTGTAAGATTAAGAGGAGACGGTAGAACCTATACACTTAATGTTCAGACAAAGGGCATCAGGGATGACGATATACATCAGTCTTTTTTTCACACAAGAGGAGGACCATACTGGGAGATAGTGAGGGTAAGATAGACCTCATCTCTATGTTGTAAGAGAATTGCAGGGCTGCAAATAACTATTTTTTTGAAGGCACATTTTTGATGACATCTCTGTGTTGCCTTGGCTGAACAAAATGGATATTGCATGTGATGTGACATTATTCTTTAGTTCCATTAATATTTAACGCTTTTGATTCATAATAAGGGGACTTTAAATTTGAGTATGATTACAAGATTGAGTACAAGCAAGATTTTCTAATTCTAGTTTGCAGGCTTCACATTATCTCGTCACATACCCATCTCATTCCCTGAGGTACCCTCTTTACATAAAATCAACATAAACATGAAGAGCGAGGGCTCTGGAAATGTCACTGGTTTAAAATTCAAAATTCATACTCATAATTCAATCTTGAGGCCCCTTTTGTTACAACTTATACCAAACCACATTCCAGACAAGGAGCATATATGTTAAGAAAGTTGGAATATGGCCAATTTGCCTAATGTAGTTGTCAATTAATCTGAAAAATAAAGAAAAGAAGAAAAATCCACTGTTCATAGTGTTAGGCCATAGCTTGGATTTTGTCATTAGCCAATTTCAGTCGGCTATTTTCTGATGGCTGACTGTTATTTGCAGTCCTGAATTTGTCTCAGTGAGTGGCTAATGTAGCTGGGTTAACTAGATTTCTTTGGTCACTACACTTTCCATCCAGTGACTTTTGTTGTCATTTGTCACCAGCTAGTCAACTAACAAAAAACAAAAATCATTCCTGCCTGCATCAGCACAATAACATTTTCCCATGACGCAGTTATGTCCAAGTTTCTAACCCTTTTGAATTTGCATCTCTTGACAGCTGCCATTCACAAAGTTTGTTCTAACCAATGCGGGATACTTACAAGATCAACAGATGTATTTTCCAAGAATACGCACAGTTGGTTTCACATTAGCAGATCACAACACTGGTCCATTTCACCTGGAAATTGACTATATTAAACTGGTCATGTTTATGTACCAGCCCAAACATTTCAAATACCACTATCAAAGTAAAGCTTGAGTATTTTGTAGGTCAATTACAAATGGTTAACTCAGGAAGCTATGTTCCAATTTTTGGGGTCAAAATCCATTGAATCCCCAAGTGTTGTCAAAGAATCAAAATTAAGGTTCCCCCTCACTTACTAAACCAAATCTCAATCTTTCTAAGCAAGTTTAAATGGTCCAATTTGGATTTCCATGTTTGGTGGTCACGCCTTTCAACAGAGACAAGGCTAGAGTTGACTTTGCTGTGAAACACAATCTGTTACTTTTCGAATGTAAATTATGCTGTTATCACACTAACTAGTTTCTCATCTCTATCATAATAAAGTCAACCCAAACCTCGTTTCCATGTAGAGGCTTGGTTACATTTCACAGAACAGTGACATGTTCTATTGCATAGGATCTGAGCTGAACACGCCCTTCTTAGCTTGAACGTCTTGATCAGGGGTTTCATTAACGTTTTCAGCTGGAGGGCAACAGGTTTTCACAGGTGGGCAAAACTATTTGAACTGTGGACTTCTAATATAACAAAAACTTTCCTCTTAATGATCAAACCAGGCGAGCAAAATCACCCTCACAGCCTGTCAATTTGCCTGGTGCTGGCCCTTGATGAAACCCCTGAACTTGATTAATCTCGAGCATTTGTAAGAAAGCTTTTATTAATAGGGGGTCTAAATAGGGGTGCTATAGCCTCAGCCATCGGTTCAAATTTCTTTGCATTTCTCAACGATCAGTTGTCAGTTAAAAAAGCATCATTTCTCGCCTAACAGTTAAAAAGATGAACCAACAGGTCATATTTGTATTCTCAGTATTGGACTGGAATTAGCTTGCAATGGAGGCTCATGCGGGGAATATCATTAAAAAGAGATTAATGCCATTTACATTTGAAAAGACTTCCTGCATTAGCCTCAATTGCAAGCTAGTTGCAGTCCAATACCGAAATTACAAATATGGTCTATTGTCGGCTTTCAGTTGAACCCATACAGACCCTAGATTTTAAAGTTGTGCTTTCATAAAGTCTGTTTATTTCTTCACATTCAACAGTGCGTTATTCCTTTTGCTGAATAGAGCGGTTTTCATTTGAGTTTCGAAAGTAATCAGGCAATTACTTTGGTTGTAGTTTTGGTTTTACTACGGTTTGAGATTGACTGAGTAGTCTAACTGGTTTGTAATTGGTTTGGTTTTGGTTTTACGACATTCAATTAAAAACCGCTCTAATTAACACACTTATTTCTATCTCTTTGGAGGCGCGGTGGCCTCATGGTTAGTGCGCTCATATCTGGATCGCGCGGTCCTGGTTCGAGCCCTGGCCGGGGACATTGTGTTGTGCTTTTGGGCAAGACACTTTACTCTCACAGTGCCTCTCTCTACCCAGGTGTATAAATGGGTACCGGCGAATTTAATGCTGGGGTGTAACCCTGCGATGGACTAGCGTCTCTTCCAGGGGGGAGTAGAAATACTCCTAGTCGCTTCATGCTACAGAAACTGGAAATAAGCTTCGGCGTGATGGGCCACTTGGCTCGCATGCAGACTTTACCTTACCTTTTCTTTGTCCCACGCTCGTGTCATGTTGATTAATTCACCTTCACATTTCATTACCGAGCTTAAAATTCACCATCTTTATTAACTTATCACTACTCCCAATGAATTCGATAGCGTCGATCCTAGCAGTATGCAGGACACCTATCATATATGAACTCAGTTAAATGACCTTGCTCTCCATGAGTTCTCGTAGCTCAGT